ATTTCTAATTTCAGTTCTTTAAGAAACCTCTATTCTGATTTCCATCGTGGTTGTACTACTACTTTACATTCCCATCTGCAATGATGGATGGTTCTTTTTTCACCACAGCTTGCCAGCATTAGTTATTGTTTGATTTTTTACCTGTTGCTCTTCTTATTGGAGTGAGACGGAATCTTTGTGTTGCTTAAATTTGCATTGCTCTAATGGACAGATATTGAGCCTGTGTGTGTGTGTGTGTGTGTGTGTGTGTGTGCGCATGTGTGTGTGTGCTGACCATTTGTATTTCATCCTCTGTGAAGTGTCTGTTCATTTCTTTTACCAATTTCTTGACCAGATCTTTAGTTTTAGGTGATTTAGTTGTTTTGAGTTCTTTGTGTATTCTAGATATTAGTCCTCTGTCTAAGGAGTAGTTGGACATAATTTTTTGCTTTCTGTAGTAGTGTTTCTATTCATTGTCTTGATTCATTCTTTTGCTGTATAGAAGTTTTTAGTCTGGTATAATTCTATTTGATGACTCTTGCTGCTATGTATTTTGTAATTTAGGTTCTATTTAGAGAATCCTTTCAGACACGTATGTCTTTGAAATGTCTTACTTATTTCATCTTCCAGTATGTTTGTTATTTCCCTTTAATATTTAGATCTTTTATTCCATTTTGATTTTAATTTAGTTATGAGTCCAATTTCAATTTCATGCACACAAATAACTAGTTTTCCCAGCACTTATTAAATAGACTATCTTTCCACTTAACATTTCTTTTTGTCCCTTTGTCAAAGATCAAAAAGCTGTTTTTGTTCCAGTGCCATGTCATTTTTGTCACTATTGCTTTGTAGTATAACTTGAAGTCAGGTATTGTTATGCCTCTTAATTTGTTTTTGTCATTCTGGGTCTCTCTTGGATCTATATAGGATTGTTTTTTTCTGGATCTTTAAATAATGCTGTTAGCATTTTAATTGGAATGGCAATCAATCTGTATGACAGTTGTGGGAGTATGGCCATTTTAACAAGACTGATTCTGCCTATTCAAGAGCAGGAGACATCTTGTCATTTCCAATTTCCTTTTTCTAAAGAACTATAGTTTTCTTTGTATAAGTCTTTCAGTTCTCTTTTTAGGTTCATTCCTAGGTATTGGATTTTTCTTAAAGCTGTTATGAATGATGTCATCTTCTTAATTTCCTTCTCATACTGTTAATTGTTGTTGTAAACAAATACTAATGATTTATGTATATTGGCTTTTTATACTGCTACAATACTGAAATTTATTAATAATTCCAAGAGCTTTTTGGTACAGTTCTTTGGATATTCTGTGTAAAGTATCATGTCATTTGCCAATAATGACAATTTTAGTTCCTCCTTTCTTTATATGTATTCTATTTATTTATTTATTTTTGCCTAATTGCTCTGGCTGGTGTTCTAAGTACTATGATGAATAGAAGAGGTGATAATGGACATCCTTATCTTGTTTCTAATTTTAAGGGGAACATGTTTTTACTTAGTAACATGGATTTATGTTCTTCTGTGGTTTCCTGTGTTTATTAGGTTGACAATTTTGTGTATGTTTTCGCTCATTGGCTCTAATTCAATAAGCATTTAGATCATCTATTTGCTTCAGTTCCCTGTTCAGTTTCTTTATCTCAAACATCTGAGACAAAATTAACAAATTTCCTTAATTTTTCCAAGCAAATGAATTTGTGCTCCAAAAGTTTTAATTCCCAGGACTTGGCTCCCTCACAGTCACTCCTTTCTTCTCTAGTATTAGTCATCAATCTGCCTCATTCTTTCTTTCTTTTTCTTTTTCTTTTTTCTTTCTTTTTTTTTTTTCTCTTTTTTGGTAAGGGGATCAAACTCACGATCTTGTGCTTGCCAGGCAGGTGCTTATACCGCTGAGTCAAATTTCCGACCAAGCTGTCCCATTCTAATCCCTTGGCCCTTCTGTATCCTATCATCTTATTATCCACCTTATTAGCAAGTTCTGTCACATAGGTTTCCTCAATCACAGTGTAAACCTTCCTCCTGTATCTTGCCTTTGACCTATAAAACATCCTCAGAAAGCTCACACCGCTAATCTTTCAACCCAATTAAAAGTATCCCCAGTAAACTCAAGCCCCCACATCAGACTTTTCTTCTCATCCACCACTCTCCTCCAATCCAAATCTCTCTGAGTATCTAACACTCCTCATCCAGCCATCCGCCATTCTGCCCACTGCACTTCACATACCTCATTGCAGAACAATCATAAATAATAAACTAGCATAGTGTGCACCAAGAATAGGTAAAGGGAAAGTTAAATTGCAAGGAAATGTCATGTAGAAGTGTTGTAAGTTTGAATCTGTAGATGCTGCTCTAACCAGAAGCAATTCTTTTGAAAAAGCATTGGACAAAGTTGAAATTACCTAAAGTAAGTAACAGAAGGAGTAACAACTAGCACTAGACATACAAAGTTGAAAATTATTCAGGGAGAGGCACCATCCTACTAATAATCTCCGTACAGACCACAAAACTTCCTCATTTCTCTAATCCCCAACCTCCAGTCACTCCCAAACAAGGAAAGGACAATAGATAAATGACAAATTCACATGGAAGAATGGGAAAGCAAAGAAATAGAAGGTTTCTAAGTCCCCCTAACTCTCCCAAGGCAGAACAAGGGATCACAAAGAATAAAACAAATACTAGGTAGCAGAAAGCTTGAAAAATTCATAGAAGGCATGAAAATAATGATGAAAGTAGAGTTCAAAGAAGAAAGGAAACAAAAGTTCAGAGGAATTTCATTCAATATGAACATCATGGATTTTGGGAAATTAAGAAAAGAACTTCATCAGCAACCAAAACAGTCCAAAATCTGAACGACAGATTCAACAAGGATATGGAATTCTTGAAAATACATCAGACAAAAGTACCTGAAATAAAAAGCTGTATTGCAGAAATAATCAAAGTGAAGACATGTTGTCTGATATCAAGCACAAAATAGTGAATTACCATAAAGAACTTAAAGAAGCAAAAAAGGAAAAAGAGAACAAAAGAAGACTGTCCAACTGCTACTAGATGACAGCAAAGAGGTCACTCTAAGGCCAATAAGAGTTAGATAAAAACTAGAATATATCACAGATGGATTCACTAACATGCTTACAGAAATTATAAAAGATCTTTCCAAGTATAAGAAGAGAGTTTAAAATACAAGGATGTGATGCCTATAGAATACCATACAAATAGGGTGAAAAACAGCTCACTAAGTCATATGGTTAAATTATCAGATATTCAGCCCAAAAGGAAAAAAAGAAATCCATGAATTTTAAAAGCAGCCAGAGTAAAACAAATATATCACATATAAAAGAAGCCAGTTAGAATCAAAGCAGACTTCTCAACACAAACATTAAATACCAGAACACCTCAGAGCTTATATATTTCATGACCTAAAAGCAAATAACTTCTAATCTAGATTAATTTATTCAGCAAAGCAGTCTTTTAAAAGCGACAGAGAAGCAAAGTATTTCCATGAAATAAAACAGCTCAGAAGATATGAGTGCTAACCATGCTCTGGAGAAAATTCTGAAGGTTTTTTCATGAATTCAGATTGGAAATTCCTTAATGTAGAAAGTTAGACCCAGTAATTTGTAAAAAGGATTATATATTATGACCATGTAAAATTTAGTTGGGAAATCCACTGTAACATTCAATAAGTAATCAATATAATTCACCATATTTCAGTGACATCTCAAAAGATTTAGGAAAATAGCATTTGACAAATTTGACAGGTAGCAATAACACATTAATAATAAAATTACTCAGTATAAAAATAGGAAATAGTTCTTTCACTTGATGAGTAACATCCGTAGAAATACTGTGAAACCATGCGTAAAGAAGAAAAACCGACTCCAACCTAAAACAGGGTGGTTCCTCCTTCCACTTCTCTGTGCGGAGTTGTGACAGAGGATTTAATGAGGTCAAAGGTCAATAGACAAGAGAAAGAAGTGTGTATAGCAAACATCATTTTCAGTTATGTCTGCCAAATAAAAGCAAGCAAATAAAATTCATAGAATACACATAAAATAAATTATTAGAAAAAAGTGAATTTATCATGGTTACAGATATAGATCAATATGCAAAGTTCAAATACTTTATAAACTGATTAAAAAATTAAACAGTTTAAGCACTACAAAAATAACATTAGAAATAATATGGTATCTGGGAATGTGTCTAATGAATATTTAAGTCTCCTAAAATAAAAGCTATATGGCATATCTAGATAAAGATCCAAATAGAAATACACATGAGTTAAAAGTTTCACTATTTTTAGTATGTATGATTTCCTCAAACATAGATACATACATAGATAGAGTTAATGGAAAATTCTACAAAGCTATGGATGCTGCCTTCACATTTTGTAATTTTTTTTGCTTCATTTTTTAAATTTTCTATTATTACACTCTTAAGTTCCTTATGCTTTCCTGCTGCATTTAATATTCTATGAATCCCACTCAGTGTGTTTTTCATCTTAGAATGTGTAGCATTCATGTGTTTCATATTTTATAGTGTTTGTTTCCATGAATATCTAATATTGTATACCTTATTGAACAACTAAGCTATAATTTGAATTGCTGTTTTAATCTGGAATTACTTTATCTCCGTCATTTCTGTCTTTTTCTGATGACTAATTTTTCTCTTATTCTGAGTTTTTGTTGTGGCATCTGCACATCTCAAATTTCATCTTATGTGATACTAGATGATTTTGTTTTCCTTTGTGTTTTCTTAAACAGGATAGAAATATGTTCTGATTTTCATTTTGGAGATGTGGATGTTAATTCCAATGTACAGGAGCAAACAGAAAATTTTATTAGAGTAACGGTGCTCAGTTTGAATATTGTTGTAGTAATTTAGAAAACAAATTGTGGAGAGTTCCTAGCAGAATACCTGCCAAATGCTAACTGCATAAATTTTTATGTCTCATTGATTCCTGATTAATGCACAGGAGTTAGCTATTTATATTGCGCTTTTTGGTTTACAGATTATTTTATATTGGAAAGCAATTCTATGCTAAAGCAAGCTCTCCAGAAGAAGAAGACAGTAAAGTCAGAAATTAAAATCGTTCATATTGATGAATATGGTAAACTTTTGTGCATGCTGTGTTATTCAGAAACAACTTTATCTGTGTAATATAATTGTGTATGCGAATGACTCTATATCTTTAATATTTTGCTCTTTCTTTACAAGAACTTCCTTTACAGTTATCCTTACCCAAAGATTTTGTGGAAAGGAACCAGTATGCTCTCCTGTTAATAATGTAAGTATTTTATTTGTTTTCAAAATAAAGTGATCTAAAGATTCATAACTGTGCTGCATATGACAACATTCTGATGAAAATACAGAAGTCTTATGTGTGTAGTTAACCAGGGAAGCTGCTTATTGCCTGAGTTCTTTAATGAATCTCACTGAATTATATATAAGGATGTATAATTTTTGGTGCATCTTCCATCTCATAAAGAATCTCATTTTACTCTTAGGAAAGTGACACTAGACAGTTTGGGATATGGATGTCTGTGCAGCAATTACTCAAGCCTTATGCTCTTTATCAGTTGTTCATGCAATACTGAAGGAAAGTGCCCTTCCACTTCTCAAACCATAGGTCATGTTTGTGTCATACTACTTTTCCTTCATGGACTCATGAACAGATGAAAACAGTTCCCAGGCTCAAAGAAAACTGACTTGAAATTTTCAGCCTTTGAATTGAATTTGCTGTTGAAGTTACTCACACTTTCTCTGATATAATATCATGACTGTGTAGTGTTAGGCACAGAGCCCCCTAACATTTAATGGGTAACCAAGTTGATATGGACATAGCATTGCATTTATCAGTCACTTGTTGTTTTCCTTATTAAGAACCCAAGTAGAATATTGATAGCACCTTACTTAAAATCATCTAGAATTATACTTAATGCCTTAGCAAAAACAGTAAAAATGGTAATAATATTATTTCTAATGATTAATGAGAAAAAGAATAAATATATGATTCTGGGAATGAAACTGCCAGAGTTCAAACTCTAGTTTGGCACTTTATGTCCATGAGCAAATTACACAGCCTCTTCTGAGGCTTTGTTTCTCCAAGTTTAAAATGAACATTATAATACAAGCTGTTTTATTGCTGCTTCATAGATTCAATGAGCTACAACAAGTAAAATTATTTGCACAGTGTCTCAGACATATGATTCTTATAATTGCATAATTAGAATTATAGTTCATTTTGCTTTGTATTAATTGCACTGTCAATTCATTCTAATAACCCAAATAAAATGAAAATAATATAGTATTCTCTTATTTCAGTGTTTCCTTATAGCTTTTTAAAAAAGTTATTTTAACTATATATTTGCCATTCATAATGCTTGTGTTTCTTGTTTTTAAATTTTATTTTATTTAAAAGGAAAAAGAGAAAAAACAAATCAAAACAAAGCGGTGTAAGGGTACAAGTAGTACAGAACTACAAAAAAAAATGTAAGAAATCACCAGTTAATAGATTACATATTATCATCTTAGAGATAGTTGCTCAAGTCACAGAATCAAAGCATACAAAGTGGACATTCAAACAGTGAGACTGCACTTTCCATGTTGTGTTCAGTGATCCAACCAAAAACATTAACATGGTCAGCTATTTAACACCCCTAAACACACTTGCTGTTGTATCCTTTAGAGCACTTTTTTCCCCTCTCTTTTTCACAACAAAATTTACACATTTTGGGTTTTATTACTCCTTAGTTCTTATTACTTTTTTTTTTTTTTTTGGAAGAGAATAAAGTCAAATATGGCAAAACAAAGCTGTCAGTCAAAACCAAGGATAGACATAATACATGATGTAAGAACAGAGTACAAGGTTATCAACAAATGCTTGTGTTTCTGATGTGCAGTTGGAACATGCACACAAGACATCTTAATTCCTTTTATCACCCCCTTTCCCTGCCTCCCTCCACCACTGATTCACTTTCCATTTGAGAAAGATCTAGCTCTTTACTTTCAATTGTCTAACTTTTCTTTTGCTGTTTTTTGCAATTTGGACATTTTATTTTAGAAAAACCATATTATATTCAAGCGTTTGTGTCTGATTTATGTTACTTAACATTGTAGTCTCATTTTTCTACAAAGGGCTTAAGTTTCTCTCTCTCTCTCTCGCTTTCTCTTTCTAGCACTGGGGATAGAATTCATGACCTCACACTTGCGAGGCAGGAGCTTATGCCACTGAGCTAAATCCCCACTCCAAAATTTATCTCTTGATTACATGTAGTTTCCAACTTCCACATCTTTCGCAAAAACTCCTCAGTTGTCATTTGTTAAATTTCTTCCTTCGTTTCATTTTTTTACCTACTTTTCTTTAATTACAATTTCGTGTGTGTGCAAAATTTATTGAGGAGAATATTTGAGGAATTAATATATGAATAAAATGGAAAAAAGAATTCAGTATAATCTTTTGTTCCCTGTCTTCCTTTGGGAAAAGAGATTGTTTTGTGTTGTGTTGTTTGTTTTGTTTTGTTTTGTTTTGTTTTTCATGAAACAGAGTTCAATCCAGCTTTTCACACATGCGAAGTGAACACTTGCCCACTGTGCTACAAGGCTAGGATTGTTCTTTTGATTCACTGAAATATAAAGTTTCCCAGGGAAAGGGACCCTGCTGGGCCTCCCTCAGGACATAGTGACTTTCAAAACAAGAGGTAAAGAAAGTGATGGTGCTTGAAGTATGATTTGTTTATGTCGATGAATTTGAAGACAGTTATTCCAACTCACGTATCCACCTGATGGGCAGTGGTGAGGCGCACTGTATTTTCTTAGAGAAGCTACCTGGTTCATTGTAACATCAGACTTGTGATTTTGTGTAGACAATTTTTAATATGCAAGAGGACACGAAACGGATTGCACAGGAAGGCAATTGAAATATTGTTTCCTTCATAAAAGGCAACCTAGATCTATTTGAATAGTAAAATATTAATGATGCTGGCTTAGAATTAGCTAAAACTGTGTTCAAATCATAGTTCTAAGATTTATCAGTAGAGTACATGGTTTAATTTTTCTAAACTTCTGTTATCTTTTAAATTGGAGATAATACTAAAGCATTATGTCCATAATATATTTTAATGTGCATATTATTTATGATGCACATATACAATCACAGTGTTTCATAGACTATAAATATTTACAATGATTAATAAAATATCAATTTAATAATTATACATAGTAACATTTTTGTATTTGAATTTATTATATAAATATTTAATGTGTAATTTAGTATTCATAAAGTTATTTAATAGGTATATATTGCAGAAGGAAATTATTATAGACAAACCATAGAATTTACTTTGCAACTTCATTGGCTGATGAAAGAGTAAAAAATATTAAATCATTTTCAGTTACTTGCTTTTAGATTTTATTTACATTAAGTATTAATTTAGTTTGTTCAGCCCCTTGGTTTTCAGAGATAAACTCTTAGGATTTATTGCTGAATATGATATATAAAAAAAAAACAAAAAAAGAGTTTCATGGATTAATTCAGTGGCACACTGTCTGCCTGGTCAGAATAAGGTGGTGAGTTAAAGTCCTAGTACCCCCCCGAAAAAAAATCAAACAAAGGATGTTTTACTTTAATTTATTTTTAGGTAATAAAAGTTTTTTTTTTTTTAATTTCATAATCATCCTAAAACCTTTACATTTAGAAACATAGATAGGATGGAATGGCATAAATCAGTATTATTTAAGAACTTTTTAAAATTTTTCAAAATTTAAAGGTGTACTTTTTATCTTTATCTTAAGATTAAACTTTTTTAGGTGACAAATTGAAGTTCCATTCTTGTTAGCAATTGTATTTTTTTTTTCAGAATGAGCAATTAGTGCTGAGCAAGAGAGCTATTACATACTGTCAGTAAGAAGAGATGTAATGATTTTGTTGTCACTCATTTATTTCTGTTCTGTGTAATACATCTCATATCTGACAGACTGAGTCATTTACTCATCTGTAAAGGTGCGTTAACAACCTAGAAACTGCATGCTGAACATGTGAGTCAGATACCCTCTTAACTGATGGTATGAAGGGAAGTGGCCTGGAAAAAAGTGGCCTCTGCTGATTTGGAGCCCCATCTTCCAGGTTCTCATATGGGTCTCAGAAGTGACTCTTTAAGGACCTCTCTCTGCCTCAGATCCTCATAGTCTTAGCTTATTCTGTGTTATTGAAAGTACAAGTCAGTGGATGGAGACTGAACATTTTCACCATAGTGTAAAATCTAAGAAGTTTCACCATCATGCAAGCAAACTGGATTTTTGCTGTTGTCTCTGTGGGATCAAAATCCCCTTTCCCCGGATTACTCCTCCATTTCTTTCTCCAAATGCTTAATTGCAGTACCTTCCTCTAGTAATCTTTCTATTTAACATTATGATGAGTTCTTAAGGCATGGTATTCTCTAGTCATCACTAATTCTATATACTCCATTATCCACTTCATCACTTACAATCAACTCATATTCCTGTTTTCTACTCTTACATGAAATTTGACACAATATGTATTTACTCTGTTGTTTGTATGTGCAAGAAGCTGTGCTAATGAGTGGGGGTAGATAAAATTTACAAGCATCTTAGTCTGAAATAGACTTTTAGATTTATTCTGTAAATCTTTCTGATACCACCATACACAGAAAAACCTTCTAAAAACTCACAGGCTAAGTGTTGTATGGTAGTTCAAGATTGAAAGCAATATCCTTCAATTGCAACTGTTTTTTGAGTAAATAAATCAATTTTGGTGTAAAATGTCAACACTATGGTAGAAATGGTAGAAGTAACCCAGAAAGTAGTAATTATCTTAGAAAACATATTTTGTGAGGTATTTTTTGAGGGAGAGGGGAAGTCAGTTATCTCTGTGAAGGGAAACAATGTGGCAGTTAGTTCAGTGCCATGACAGAAGGGAGTTGGCATAAAGGATCAACGGGAAAGCAGAGGATGGGCCCTTTGTTCCCTCTCCTTGAATTCATGTTCCTTGAGTCCTAAGAAATTCTTGGTTAGCATGAAAGGTTACCTTCTCGAAGCTTTTTTCCACAATCCCTCTAAACCTGTGCATACAGTGTGATTCAAAAATATAGTATGCATTTAAATAAAAATTTATTAGAGTAAAAGTACATTGCCATTATACCCGCTCAAAATAACTCTTCAGTTCAAGTCCACTTGCACCATCTTTCTCACCACTTTCTGGAGCAGTTCTTGAAGTCCTCTAGGTGAGTGTCTTTATTTATGCTGTGTGGCTGCCTTAATGTCCCAAAT